CGTCGCAGAAATGGTGCTGCTGTTCGCTTCTGGAGTGACCCTTGGCTCGACACAGTCGGCCCCTTGTTTCGGGTCGCGACCAATCCTCCGCCGGCAGGTACACTCGATTTGCCGGTGGCCGCCTACGTCGATGAGAGTGGCGGCTAGACTTGGGACCTCTTCCATGGCTACCTACAGTCCGGTGTCATATTGCGCATCGCCAGTACCGTTCCACCGCGACCGTCAGCCGGAGATGACCTACTGCTGTGGGACCGGTCTGAGGATGGTAGGTTCACGACCCGCTCTGCCTACCGCTAGCTTTCTTCTCCTCTGCGGGACCGTGATCACCGTCTCTGGACTCTCATCTGGCGCGCACCCGCATCTCAACGGGTTCGACAATGCTTGTGGCTCGTGGCGAAGGGAAGGATCCTCACCAACGCGGAACGGGTTCGGCGACACATGGCCTCGCCGGACTGCTATTTTTGTGGTGCGCCGGAGTCGGTTTTACACGTTCCTCGGGACTGCTCGCTTGCCCAGAGTGTTTGGACCCAGTTGCTCCCGGGCGATGGGGGTGGCTCATTTTTCGAACTACCGCTGTCGACTTGGTTGGGGGCTAATCTCTCCCCGCGGGCTGTGACTTCCAACTGGGACAGTATTTTCGCGCATGCCACGTGGAGTTTGTGGGGCTGGCGCAATGATCGGATATTTCGCTATCATACTTTGGGTTGCACTAAACGGTATCTTGAGATTGTCCGGCGAACCGATTCTTATGGCCGTCTGGCTGCGGCTTTGCACCGTGTGGGGGCTGATGTTCATGTTACGCGCATGATCCATTGGAGCCGCCGGATCCGGGATGGATAAAGCTTAATACCGATAGAGCATTTCACAGTAGTACGGGCATGGGATGCGCGGGGGGTCTCCTTCGAGATGAGTTGGGCTGTTGGGTTGCTGGATTTTTAATGAATATCGGCATTTGTTCTATCACGGGAGCCGAGCTGTGGGATTTATTTCAGGGGTTGCAGTTGGCATGGGACCGGTTGTTGCTGAGGTGGATAGTAAGTGCGTTACGAGCATGATCTCGGGCTCGGGTGTATCCCATGGGACGCACGGGCCCATCGTCCAGGCTATTCGGGAATTGTTGGATCGAGATTGGCAGGCTCGGGTTTGTCACGTTCACAGAGACGCTAATTTTGCGGCGGATCATATGGCTAGTTTAGCGGGTTCCTCTTCCTTGGGTCTTGAGCGTGTTTCCACACCCCCTCCCGGCTTGGGGTCTTGGCTGGATCATGATGCTATTGGGGTTTCATATCCCCGTCGAGTCGTAGTTTAATCTCACTCTAGGCCTTTGGCCTCCTTTTTTGTACCCAAAAAAAAAAAACTAGTTGTAGTGCACATGCACAAATAACATAAAAAATAATATAATATTTTATATAAAAATAACAATTAAAATAAAAATTAAATTAATAATGTTTATCATAATTATAATTTCATTGTTGCATTACTTACTCTTAGCTGACATTTTAGATTTCAGTAAAAAAGTTTCATGAGGAATTTATCATATGCTAATAATTATTATATGAATATAATAAATATATAATTTTATATATACTTTGAGTATCATAATGATACTAATCATAAAAATATCACAAAGTAAAAATAATAATATAAATTTGAAATGAACAATATAAATTTTATATAGTAAATGCTAATCTTTTTAAGATAATTATGGTTTTAATTGTATTAATAATAAACAAAAATACATGTACAATTTGGATTATTTCATCTAATAAATTTCACTTATAATTTTGATACATATACGTTCAGTACCTTTATTACAAAAAAATTGGTCATTATAAAATATATCAACTAACATGTAAGACACAAAGTTTTTTAGCACTAAGATGACAACAAAATTGGAAAACCATTGCATTCATTAATATACTACTTTGTAGAATTTGTGTCTATATCAACATGTTGTAGCACAAATTATTAATTTTACCGAGTACCAAATCAAAAGATTCGTTCTCCGGTTCGATCTCACGAGGAAGGCGGTTCGGAATTTAGCTTTGATATTGACAACACATAAAAAGAAAATAAATCCTAAACACTCTAATCGGATAGCAAATTGGATGAATTATTAACTAAGAAACAAAATAAAAATAATAATCTACCTAAAAATATAAA